GTGACAACAGCAACCACGAGCAACCAACGTATAAGGTTAACGATCCGTCGAACTAATGTAACTATATACTGAATATACTATGATTAAACATACATACAATTTAGGCATCTTTTTAGAAGTGAGCTAGTTTAATATGAAATATTATACTGAAAATTCAATTTCTGATTTTTATTTACCCATTACAAACTACCTCAAATTACTGAGGGAAAAATTGTTGCCGTTGTCACACCCCCGCCGGGAATCGAACCCGGGATGTTCTGATTACTAAACTACAAGAGGTGACAACAGCAACCACGAGGTTTTTGAGGTAGTTTGTAGTAGGTAAATAAAAAATCGAAAAAATGATTTCAAATTAATATTGCATATTAATCCACTATTAAGTAACTAACATTAGTACTGCCCGACGAAGTGATCAGCATAGCTCCTTTTGTCTTCTTGTGAACCACCAGATCAAGATAATTTGAAGTATTATCATCACGAGCTGCTAATGTCTCATTAAATTATTTCCACAATTTGTCGTACAACATACATTACCATTTGGCATTATTCGTGTTAAAGCAGGGTAAAATTGATTCAAAAGTACACTGCTAAATGTTTACGTCTAAAAATGAATTAGATAAACGTCACAAGGTCGCACACTTATGATTTTCTACAATACACACTTTTTTTTTGGAGATATATTGTAGATGTTTATCAGGATAAACATAAAAAAAAAAGTACAAAAAGGTTCGAAGGACGCACATACAGTTAACACGTGTAGCGACGAAAAAGCCCAACGAATTAAAAACAGAAAAACACATATCGTAATATCAATAAAACCGTAAACAATTAAAAAAAAAACTCAAAACACGGTTAAATCAGAACAAAAACTAACGCAGTATTACTTAAAAGTCTTTGTGATATTTTGAGACTTTCATGTATAGGGTTGTTCGGAAAGTCATTTCGTTTTTTTTTTGTGGAAATGAAAGACAGTTTTCGTATAATAAACAAATACTTTATTAAATTATATATTGACCGTTCTGGTCCAACACCTTTTGCCATCTTTCTGGTAGTAGCATAATTCCACGCTCATAAAATTTTTGGTCTTTGCTGGCAAAAAACTGATCGAGGAGGTTTTTGACCTCCTCATTTGAGGTGAAGGTTTTACCGTCTAAAAAATTTTGGAGTGACCGGAACAAATAATAATCCGATGGTGCCAGGTCTGGAGAATATGGTGGGTGTAGCATTGTATCCCATTCAAGCTGTAAAAGCTTTTGGCGAGTGACCAAACTTGTGTGAGGTCTCGCGTTGTCTTGGTGAAACACTACACCTTTCCTGTTGATTAGTTCTGACCTTTTCTGTTGAAGTGCATCATTCAGTTTGTCCAGCTGATGACAGTAGACTTCCGAATTAATCGTTGTGTTATCCGGTAAAAGCTAAAAAAAAACGATTCCTTTAAAATCCCACCAAACAGACAGCATCACCTTTTTTTGGTGAATATCGGCTTTGGAAATGGTTTGAGCCGGTTCATCTTTTTTGCTCCATGACCTCTTGCGTTTGACGTTGTTGTATACAACCCATTTTTCGTCCCCAGTGATGATGCGCTTCAAAAACGGATCATTTTCGTGACGTTTGAGAAGCGAATCGCAGACGTCAATGCGGCGACACAGATTTCTCTCTGTGAGAACATGGGGAACCCATACATCGAGCTTCGAGGATAATCCCAGGCCTTTCAAGTGGTCATAAACTGTTGAATTTGATAAATTTAACCTCAATCCGATCTCACGTGTTGTTATTCGCCGGTTCACATCAACTAATGCCTTTATCGCGTCTTTATCAGCTTCAACCGGCCTTCCCGAACGTGGTGCATCTTCGACATCAAAATTGCCGGATCGAAATTTAGCGAACCAGTTCTGGCACTGGCGTACTGTCAACACACCTTCTCCATACACATCAGTCAATTTCTTTCTGGCTTGAACAGCATTTTTACCCTTTCTGTAGTAAAACAGTAAGATATGTCGAAAATGCTGCTTATCGCTCTCCATATTTAAAAGGGCACCAACCAAAAACTACTGCGTAGAATTAATTGGAATTTTTCACACACAAGCCTTGCTATATGAGCTCTCAAAGCATATAAAAATTATACGGCTTAAATGTGAAGTTGGGTGCAAAAGAATACAATTAAATCCTCTGTCGGGAAAAAACGAAATGACTTTCCGAACAACCCGATATGTCTTCTATTGTCACCGAAACTGTAGAACGTACATTCCGTTTCAGGGTTTTTCATTTAGTTTAAATAATTACTAAAATTCAAAAGCACTGTATGAGTTCATCATCATAAGGTACACGCTTCTCCATACACCTTTAACAATTCTTTTTGATTTTTTAAATTAACTATTCGCAAGCATAGAAGTGAAAACTAAATTCCAAATTGTACCTTAAAAACTAAGTGGTTTAACATGTTAAAATAAATTTATTCGAAAAAGTATTCAAATGTGTAAAATAAAAGAAAAATCAATGTTCAAAGATAACAGAAAGTTTACATACATAAATAAGGAAATCGAAAAGGGACTCACCCTAATTACCAAAAACATGTAGGGTATACAGGGTGGTCTGTTTTAAAAATACAATTTAATCGTAAGTGAGTAACATGTTCTTTATATCTTGTTAAAACCGCTTTCTTTGCCCAACATATTTAAGTTCACAGCCTTCACAAATTATTTCGTTATTTCGTAAATTTATTTTTTATTTATATCTAAATAGAGGTCTGTACCGATATGAATTTCAGTCAGAAACTTCAGAGTTTGCAAAAGCTTTTAATTTAGAACCTCTAATTTTATTCGTAGTTTTACGCGCTACTTAATACTATTTTTTGTTTAGCATCGTTTTTTTTTTCTTCAAATAGCTGTGAATTTTTTTTTTTACTGTTTTGCTCTTATTTGTTCCGCAAAAACTGTCGACAAAGACTTAAAAAATATAGCCTAAACCGCTAGCTTGCCTTCATGCTATAGTTGTGACGACCAAAATTAACATAATTCGTAATAAATTATTTGTGAGAATGGACGTATCTTCTTTCTTGTTTTCATTTGGGACTGTACCAACTGCTGCGTTTTGAACACGCTCTTGTTGAGTTCGAAAATACGTCATGATTAGCACAGAAAAATGAAGAGAGATACCTGAATAACGGTAATCGGTGCAGTGGTTAGAGGTTGCTTAGGTAGGCAAAAGATCAGGGTCGGCTTAATAACTGCCTGTTTGGATTTATATATTTAAACAAGTGTCTTTCCTTTCCTAAATTCCTGAGAATGTTGAACATTCCTATGCTCAAATTCTGCTTGTCCGCATCTCTTTTTGCTACACATCAATTGGTGTAATGTTATTCCTTTTTATTTATTAGTGTCCTCTGCAATTCTTACCTGACATCTCTTTTCTATGTTTACCATAATTCATATAACGTCTGTCGTAAGTAAAAATTGGCGTTTTGTCAGCAACCGCTCTACTCCAGTTAGTAAGTTGAAAGAGGAAAGTAAATGCGATGGTTTTATGACCCACCATGTTAACTTTAAACCATAAGTATCACTTGCGTCCAAACAACACTAAAAGCGTAACAGTTTCGGATGTTACGCAGAAAGCGTTACATTGCCAATTATGAAGGTTGCACGTGCCGCAGCTTTTCTGTATTCCTTGAGTAGTTGTAGATTATGGCATGTAGACATGACGTGACCTAATTACAGAGACTCGTGGAGATAGATTTGGCAGAATGGACGAATTGTAGAATTTTCTAGCATTTCAAAGCCTTTCATTAAGCCGATAGTCATTCTTCTGATCGCCCTGGCGGTCCAAGTGACCCAATTGGTATGAGGCTTCTGTTTTGAAAAATTCTAGCAGGTTGATGTATTTTTCGAAGCACGAGGATCAGATGCAGCTCTTTAGCATATTTCACTATTTCATACGGTTCTTATAATTTAGTGAATAATTATTATACTCTCTAATCTAAAAAATTGAAAAAAAAAGGTGATCTCATGAAGAAACTCATTGAAATTCAAAAAAATGCAGAAGAATTATTGCAGATTTTACATGAAAAAGTAACATGATTTAGCAGAGCATACACAGATACAACCACCAGGGTGTTAGAAAGTTTAATTCATCATTTTTACAATTTCGATTTTTTTCCACCTAATAATTTGTGATGAATCTGGTCTCAAAATTGCTACAATAGGTACGTCTTGATTCTGAAACATTATCTCAAATTGTATAAGTACCTAAATCAATTTTTGACCCTTTGGTGGCCTTTACTATGCGAAATAAAAAGATAAACTAACAAGAGGGTAGTCACCGCCGACTTATCTTTACAATTAGTTCAAAATTGCCCCAGCATATTAAGATTTTGAAATACCTTAAATTGAAAATTCGAATGATAACACTTGTAAGTTTAACGTGCCAGAAGTTTTATTGGCTCACATTTCCATACTGATTCTACTGATCCGACTGAGATCCATTATCCGCAATTCAAAATTTTAGGAAGCGATATCACCAATTATGAAGCCAAATTCTAATTCCTAAAGCCAAATTGTAATTCTCCTACAATAAATGCTTCGGACTATTTTTAGTTCATGTGTTAATTAATCTTATTGAAAAAACCAAAAAAAAAATGCATTTTTTTAGTTTGAAATTGGGATATCTATATAAAAATTTTGACGTGTTCAGGTAATTCCTATGTCAGATTTGGACTCATCGCAAATTATGTGGTAAATAATTGCCCTTTTGTATTTTTCCTTTTCAAGACCTAATTTCGTTGACCTGTGCAATTTACCTAACCAGTGATTATCCTCATATTATTTTTTTGTGAAATTTATTTGATATATATATATATATATATATATGTATACGTAAGCATATTATTTACGTGCGTACATAGACAATAGCGATACATAAACATAAGCTCATCGATATCTCTCTTTAAAGTGCTATCTCTGTTTAAAGCTGCTGATAAAAAAAAACTGGAATATAAAAGCAGGTGTAGGTCGAAAACCGCAGATACAGTTCTACAGTCAAAATTAACGTTAGTTATTTGAAACCGATAATGCGGTTGTCGATTACAGGGTGTCTCCTGCTTGGAGCCCTATTAGCTGGTGTGTGGTGTGTTGACGAAATATCTCTAAAGAAGAACGATACGTCCCTCAGTATCGTTTTCAATCCTTCAAGCAAGCTTTTCGACCTAGCTCTTTCTTATGGTAAGTTTATTCAACAACTTGTCTTAATTATATTAAACAGGTATGTTACATGGATCTTGGGACAGAAAAAGATAAGATACAGAAACCTAGCCGCCAGCAACAATCAAGTACCTAATAAGTTACATTTCAAATTTAAAAATGCCCAATTTTTTACTGTTTCTTAAATTAATGTTTTTGTTATTATTTTAACGGTCTTCAGATGTAGATACAATCTACATATAAAGACATTCAAAACTAATTAAAGAACTTCTTTATGGGGTTGTTAAATGAATAAACGACTAACTAAAAAAATCATTGTTGTTTGGTTATCGGCCTTTTTAGCCTTCCCTTGTGTTTAAAAGTATGAGCCGCCACTGGTGACCATTCATTTTTATAACTATATCTGTCTGTCTCGTTGCCCAAATACCCACGAATGTGTTTCTTATTTTTAATACTGTGCTTATGTTCTTTGATTCTCACTTTTAGAGTTTGACGGTTTTGATCAATGTTAGTTTTGTCGAATCTACATTATTTGTTGTTTTCCTTCGTTGTTAGTCAAAATTACACAGTTATTAATTTCTAACTAACTATTTAGTAAGAAAAGCGTTAAAATAAAATTATATTTAAATAAACTATTTAGCAAAATTTATAAAAAGGTAAAACATTTTGAAATATTTATAAAATTTAAAGTAGCTAGATTTACTAAACATACAANATACCACTACAACGGATTACTTAAGTAATGTCACCGTGGTTTTTAACGTCTTGTTATTTAATATTTTATTTATACAACCTTGTTGTTTTCTTATTTAACAATAAGTTAATTTTAACTATTTATTCTTTTTATTATTTTATCTATGATATGGTTGTGCTTTTGTGTATTAATGCCTCACCGAATAATTATTCTATTTTTACACACACCGACTTGTTTGGAATTAGCTCCTATACAATTTAGAAATCCTTATAGGTAAATGCCATAAAGGCGTTCGATTTAATTCGAAGATTCGGACTTTCGATTTTATAAAATTTTATCCGACTTTATTAAGCGGTTTGAAATTTATTAGCTAAAAGAAAGCGTTGTTTGCTTTGTAAGCGAAATCGGGGCAGCTGATATAGCTGATGATAGGATATTCTGGAATTAAATGAATAAAAACGTTTGAATGTAAAAGAATGAGGAGATACATTTCAATTTGAAATTTCTTTTTCTGACATCTTTTTCAGCATTTTACGTACTTTTTTAAACGGTTGAAGATCAAACATCAATCAAATTTTATTTCAGAAAATTAGCCGCCATTATCATATGCGTAGACGGGTACAATATAACAACAAAGTATTCTTAATATTTTTTCAGGCAATTCGGTGGTGCTTAGCGCAAGTCTTGGACATGGGCTTAATCTCTCCGAAAGTGAAATAGAGAATTGCCTAGGTTTAGATAATTGTTATCGATTCAGTGGCGACATTCGAATGCATGTTCACTCGAACATCGACAATGGTTTTACGATATACTGGAAAACCAAAAATACTTCTCTAGAGTTTATGGACTGCGTGGATTTGGACACTGATGCACAAACGCATTGGTATGGAGGTCCGGAGAGGAATTATCAATATTATCCCCTTGAAAAACTGGTGATACCTAACATAGATTACGCGGTTCATGAACTGAATTACAGTGCAATCTCAGAACCGTACTGGGTCAATTCGAAGGGAGCATATCTGCATGTCGATGAAAGGGTACCACTTTTTGTCGACCAAAACAGTGCGTTTCAGAACAAGACTTGTTTCAGAGCCAGGGAGCAGCCTCCTTACCAAAATAGACCAAAGGTACAATAAAATATTTTTATTTAATGAATGCTATTAGTCCAGTCGGTAGAGAATTTTCCGAACATAAATTTGTTACCGGACGGGAGTTGTTCCATGTTGTAGAAGGCCAAAAGTTGAACATCTCTGTATATTTTTAAACTTCGAAAAAGTGTGCGTTAACAGGTCCAAAGTTGGCAAAAACCATGTTTTCAGATCTAGAAGGCAAGGTATGCCTTTTGGAAAGAAATGTTTCAAATAAAAATTGTAGAGAAATTAATAACCTTCAATTTGAGCCTCGGTACGATCAATTTTGTCCATTGGGTATTGCACAAATCCCAAAAAATCTTCAAAAATTGTAATTTCTTGTATATTGATTGTTTATTGCAAAAATGACGTTTTTAGTGATTTTACCACATTGAAATGAAGGTTTTACAATTTTTATTTGAAACATTTCTTTCCAAAAGGCATACCTTGCCTTCTAGATCTAAAAACATGGTTTTTGCCAACTTTGGACCCCCCCATTTGTTAATGCACACTTTTTCGAAGTTTAAAAATATACAGGGATGTTTAACTTTTGCCCCCTACAACATGGAGAAATTCCCGTCCGGTAACAAATTTATGTTCGGAAAATCCTCTACCGACTGGACTATATGGTAATTTCAGTAGCAGACTAAGTTTTCGCTTAAATAGATACATATTTTGGAACCTTTTACCTATAGAAATAACTAAAACGATTTTTTACCAATACAAAGATAATAAAATTCTTTAAGCTGTTACGTTTAAATGATATAAGAACAAAGGCTTTCACGGCCGGAATCCATAGTAGAATGAAGATTCGGGCTATAGAGCCGTGGTTTAAGTGAATCCAGTCGCTGTCGAGACTTCGAGATATAATCTACGTTCACGTTGTTAACGCAGCACTACCACTGAGGATGTATGCCGCAGTAGCTGACGAAAAGTCCAGACAGAATAGTTCACTTAGATCACGGCCCTATAGCCCGAATCTTCATTCTACTATGGATTCCGGCCGTGAAAGCCTTTGTTCTTATATCATTTAAACGTAACAGCTTAAAGAATTTTATTATCTTTGTATTGGTAAAAAATCGTTTTAGTTATTTCTATAGGTAAAAGGTTCCNTAGAGGTAGACCTAGATTAGATTACTTTTCGCAAATAGTTAAGGATGTGGGATGTTCTAGTTTTTCTTAGGATAGGAAAGAGTGGAGGTGGGTATCCAACCAGTCTTAGGAATGACGACCTTATGATGATGATATATTATCTATATGAATGGAGTATCAACACTAATGAGAGTTGTAAGTTATTCATTCCAATGTGAAACCAATAGGTTAGTTATCGCATAAAAATCGGTTTAATTTGAACAAAATATGTACAAGTACAACAAATATAGAAAATATAAATTGCAATAATCAGAGCATCATAGAATATCATATTGTACAGTAGATCTCGTAATGTTCATCCAACCAAGGAAACCAGGAATTGGAACATCTGTCGGGATTAGCGTTAGGGTCAACATAACGCCCTGGCTGTAGTACGATTTCCCTCCAGTACTGCTCCACCTGTGAACTCAGGTTTTGAACTATTTCAGGATAAGATTCCTTAATATCGACTGTTTCACAAGGATCTTGCTGAAGATCAAATAAGCAAAGTTCCGTGCAATCCACGATTGTTTCAACTAAGTCTCTACAATTTTCTAAATTCAATTTCTGTCGCAACTCTGCTATTTCACTTTCAGTCAGAGATTCCAAACGTGCAGATTGAAAAGCTCTGTTCGTTCTACTCTCCAATATTTCGGTGAAATTGTACTCAGAATTGCTTTGCTGTCCACGACCTGAAGGCCCGAAGTATACGTCCATACTACCATTCAAAAATGTACCTGGAAATATGCACATCGTATAACTAAAATCATCATCATCATCATCAGAAGGTCGTCAGTCCTAAGACTGGTTGGACACGTACCTCTAGTCTTTCCTATCCTGAGCTAAACTTCGCATTTCCCTAAAACTAGAAACCACATCCTTAACTATTTGCGAGTAGTAATCTAATCTAGGTCTATCTCTACCCCTCCTAACTCCCGTTTCTGCCTCTAATATTTCCCTGACTAGACCTTCATGCCTGAGAAGGTGTCCTAGTAACCTATCTCGCCTATTTCTTACTGACTTCCATAGAGTTCTCTGTTCTCCTATTCTTTCTAATACCTCTTCATTTCTTACCTTTTCTATTCACGTTATCCTCATCATTCGCCTATAACACCACATTTCGAACGCTTCTAACCTCTTCTTTTCCGGCGCGCCCACTGTCCATGTTTCGCACCCGTACAACGCCGCGCTCCAAACATACACCTTTAAAAACCTTTTTCGAATTTCCAGATTAACCGTCACAATGAGTTATAAGTTTAATTTATTGATTTTCGAAGGAATTGATGATGAAAGAAGTATCCATTTATTATTTAACTGTATAATTATAAATGAAGCGATAACAATTATATCCAGCGGTTACTATTATCAATATCACTTCCTCTGTTGTTCCTTTTACAATATCGCCTTCCCATTCCCGTACCTCCCTATCTATCAACCCTTGTGCAACTATATATAGCGTTGTTGGAAGAGGGAACATATGACTTAGTGACTAATAATACCATAACCGCGTTTAGTAAGCTGGAGCGCATTGATCAAATGAATTCATTTTTGTTTTGTATATTTTTAGACTTGCTATGGATCTCTAACGTTTGGAGATAAATTTCCAAACATTAATAATACAGTACAAACAATAAAAGATATGGACTTTAGAGTAACTTTATGGGTACATCCGTTTATACATGTCAATTGTTCAAGTGCTCTTGACCCTGGTGTAGATAATGGTAAGACAATAAAACGGTTATTTTGACATTTACGTTAAAAGAAGCAGAAAAGTAAACCAATAAGTTCTTGTTTTGAAGATGTCAGCTTAGTTATTAAATCTTTTACTCGAATTTAGTTTTTATTTGTTTAATTTGTCGAGTAGAATGTCGCTTCAGAGGTCAGGTATCAAAGAACTCGATGATGATGCAGCAGGGTTGGTAAAATTTTGTATCTACGAAAGGAAACTTCACGAGAAAATCACATTATAAGTAAAACAAAATCAATATAATCTATTAATCTATAATAATTAAAAAAAAAAAACAAAGTTGAATGAAATGAACAAATGATTTGATTTATTACCAAAAATTTATCAAAACGATAATCCTATTTATCTCCGTGTGCAAACCCTGAAATCTAAAATTCACTCTACCTCTCTCTAGTTGTGTTTCTCTCGCAACC